AACGACTGTTCTTTCCATGAAGACCTATTTAGTGACACTGAAAAATCTGCACCAGAAGCTGCACTTAAAATTATCAAAGACCTGAGAGTAAAAACTTGTTTTAAAAGTCTGGGAGGAAATACAAACCGTTAGTAGTTGATCAGCAGTACTTAAATTTCCTCTCTTCCACTATAGCAGTTCCGTATGGTTCTGAGCAAGAACTTCTGGACTGAGAGAAGAACTTAAATGAGAATTTTCCAAACGCAGCACACCTTCAGATGCTAGCCAGATCTGTGAATTGCTACATCAAAGATTGAAAAATTAGTTGTATGAATCTGCTAAAAGATATCTTAAACTGAAGATAACCGACTTCCATGAATGACGTGCCTTTCCTTGCTATACGTTGGTCCCGGTTAAAAAGTATTTCCTCTAGAAACTGGACCTATAGGAGAACGAACTTGATCTACCTCAACGTTGAACCTCCTATGGCGAATTCATAATTTATTTTCGTAAACAAAGCAAACGTGCAATACCGTGTTGTGTTGGCATGTTGAACATGACATGGCCGTGCTCAAAAAGCTTTATAATGTGTGAAGATTTCATTCAGAGGCAACACAACACGGCGGCACGCCATATTCCTGAGCAACTTGTCTTTCGTTTTTCGTGTCTAATTTGAAGGCCGCCCCCGAACACGAAAGGAATCTAGTGAAAATGTGTTAGTTTGCACTTCAGCTTCAACATGATCAAAAATAATTGGTTTTCAATCTGGAATTTTATTCGAAAACCAAATTAGCATCCATGAAATTTACAATATATTTGAGTTTTGATCCAGTGTCCTTATTAAATTTCCTAGCGCTTTCTGCTGCTGTCTACCGATCTTCAATCTTTACGCGACCTTCAAGCCTTAATTTTCATTCAATGTGGATGAAACCTTCAATTTCTATTCCCGAGTGATCCTACCGGAAGATAATAGGCAGGAATAAAAGTAGCATGTAAACAAATACCTGAAAGTGAAAGTAAGAACTTGGTATCACGTAAAAATAATTTCCATGATTTTGACGAATATCTGGGTATCTCGTGCAGAATGCATGACCTTTAGAAAATAGTAGCTAGTCATGACACTGGTTTCATGAATGAAACTGTTACAACTCGGTGTGCGTTTCTTTAGGTTACGTGTTGCAATGTGATAATGACGTTATAAAATCGGATCCACGAAAGGCCAAAAAGGTGTAAATCCTAGCAAAATAACTGCTGAAGTTTAAGACTAAATTTTGTAAATATTTAGAAATTCACATTCCCTAATCCCAAGTTTCTTAAATTTCACCTTCTTTTAAAACGGGCACATTCATAAATATTACACTATTTTGCTCATGTTAAACTATTGCCAATAGTTTGGGTGATTATCTAGATATACAGTTGTACAATAACACTGTTTAGATTTAACTTCCGCAAATTTTAACTCAGAATATATTCTATCAAAAGCCAACAACCGTCTAATTCACGATTTCCATCTAAAGCGAACAGTTTTCATCCAATTAGTTTTATTTTGCGCTCTTATTATTTTCCAGGCTCAGTTTTTCGAATTAATTTTCGCAAAATACTGTTAAACTGTTTAATTTTATGATAAATTTGTATTTATTATCTGGTTTGCGGTCACGCAACTCTAATCTTATGCTATTCATCGAATGCATTTTTAAATATACATCGAAGGCAGTTGTGTTATGATAATGGCAAGTTGAAAATACAGGAAAGGGATTACGCAGTTAGCTTTTTATTATTAAAATGCAAATTGTCCTATCATAAAGCAGGAAATGTTCGATTTATAGACGGACTTGCTATTGTACCTTGCCGGTAAATTAGACGTAATCATAGAAAACGTTTTTGGCGTGTAATTTGCTTTATGAGATTTATTGTTGAAATTTTTGTATACTATTAGTTTGCGAATATTTACACATCAATTCAAGTTAAATTGTTTTTAAATTGTGGAGCAAGAACTGTTTTTAAACGCTTCAAATTTTTGAACAACATGCAATCAAATGAGCAAAGTGCTTCATTTAATCAATTATTTTGCAATCAACACGAAGCGAAATCTGCAGACTGCACTTCTTGGTATCTTGCTAACAACTTATTTTTATTGGCGGCGTATCATAAA